CCGGATGCCATGGAGGAACGCACCGAGACCAAGGGCGACACAACAGCTGCAGGTCAAGTTGCTGCGGCGGAATCAATCGTAGAAGCAACCAAGGCCGATGAGGAAGAGGCTGCGAACCGAAAAGGAGCAACCAGGGTCACAAACGACATGGAAGGGGTTACTAAGATTGATGAGGACGCAGGTGTGGTAGACGGAAGTAATGAAGAAGAGGCTGTGATAGGTGTGACAGGCGCCGATAATGAAGAAGGGGTTGTTATAGGCGTAGTCCGAGGACAGTGTTTGGATACCCGAGAAAGCGGGTGATGAATAGACCATCGAAGCATGCCGCGGAACCAGCTGGAGAGGCGGGTCACGCGCGCAGGGTACCTGTGTTGACGTTTACGAATATAGGAAGTCCATCCTTTCGCAAGTGTTGTTGGAGAGTGCCCGCGAAAAAGCATGCGGCGTGTGAGCATCGTTGCTGAAGTTTTGAAATCATACCAGTTGTTGCAGACATACTCAAACCTAGTAAGCTGGCCTGTAAACACTCCCGCCGGCTGGTGTGCAGGGACGTTAGACGTAGCACAAGGGTAACGAATAACAGGGAAATTCCATTCAGCTGCTTTGTCAAAGACACTCATACGCAGGGAACCGTCAGGGCAAACTTGGAGGCGTGCACCTAATGTGCAAGAGCCATCAGGCGGTGTGGTCTCCTTCCATTCGAGGCCATAGTGTTCTGACGGTGGTGGCAGATGTTTCCATGAGAGAACATCATCGATCAAGCGGTATGTGAACGCATATCGTTGAGCTGCTCGAAGATCACACTGCTGGAGGTCATCAACAAATCGAGCCTCATCCCATTCATCTCCGGATCAGAATTAGTCCCCATCGGGATGCCAATCAGCTGATGTCGCAAGGTGCCGTCCGCTGCATAAAGATACGTGTTTGTCAGAATGAAATGAAGATGTTCAAGAATTTGGGAAACGGTCAAGGTGTTTGGTTCGGTATCAACCGTCCACTCCCCTTGATGGAGCCCTTTAACAATCATGTTAAGGGTAGGAGGATGTGTGCGCCCCTGTGCGTGTTGTTGTAAGGCATATGTATAGGCTTCCTCAACCGCTTTTGATACATTATGTCAAAAATGATATGCCATTGTGTGCGCATTTCGTAAGGGAGATTTTGATACATTTCTCAAGCGATGAGGGCATTTGGAGAGAAATTGTCCTCTAGAAAAAAAAGAACGCCATTCCATTGTGTCCGCATCTCTTAAGGGACATCTTGATACATTTCTCAACTGATGGGGGCAGACGATCACAAAAATATATTGAGAAGCATCCCAGCCAGTAGCTGGACAATACAAACGTGCCAGTCCAAAACGCCATTCCATTGTGTGTGCATCTCTTAAGGGACATTTTGATACATTTCTCAAGTGATGGGGGCATTCAGAGAGTAATTGTCCTTTAGAAAAAAAGGAGTCTCTTTCTCTCTTTCTCTTGTAGGGGAAATTGCGGAAGGGCAAGTGCATAGCACAAATATGCCAATCGAAAACGCCATTCCATTGTGTTTGTATCTCTTAAGGGACATCTTGATACATTTCTCAACTGATGGGGGCATTTAGAGAGTAATTGGCCCGTAAAAAAAAAAAGAGTCTTTATTTTTTTTTCTGCCTCTCTCTCTTTCTCTCGCTTTCTTTCTCGTGCTCTCTCTCTTTGTCTCCTTGTGTCTCTCTCCCTCTCTCTCTCTTTGTCTCCTTCTATCTCTCTCCCTCTCTCTGTCTTTCTCTCTCTTTCTCCTTCTTCCTTGCTGCCTCTTTTTGTCTTTCTCTCTCTCTTTCTCTTCGGATGAGAACATTGAGAACCGCTGGAGGTCTTGTGTACTGATCGCAGTACGGTATCTGGCGACGCAGGGGTGTCCATTGTAGTCTTCCGTGCGGGAATGGAGCCGTGCGAATTGTTGTTGTTTGTCCGCAGTATCGCTGTCTCCATGGGGTGTCGAGGGAAGATGCTTATTGTCGTTGTCTTTGTGGGGTGCTGAGGTCGAATGGTCATCGTCTGGGCGCGTCTTGTGCTTGGAGGAGTGCAATGGCCTGTTGAATTATATCCGTTTTGAAAGCAGGGAAGGGAGGGAGGGGACGCTGTGCTTCGTGGTGGTGAACGAAGATAAGGCCGTTGAGGTATTCCCATGTTCGAGGTGTGTGGGGGATGTTGTAGATGTGGAAGGTGTGGCGCGATGCGAGGAGGTCGTGAATGAGGGCGGTGGCTCTCGTTGCACCCCATGGTTCGAGCGGAAGCCACCAGAGCGGGTCCGGTTCATGCGGTGCATGGGGTTGCAATGGGGATAGTCGCGGTGGTGGAGCAGTGGCAATGAAAGAATGTTTGTGATGCGCGGCTGTGATACGTTCGTATTGGTATTGCGAGCGAGGTGTTTTGGGGGAGCGAGTGTGGTTGTAGTCGTGGTTAATAAGCTTGAGGAAAAATGTTTTCGCGTGCCGAAAGCGAATGTTGATGTCGGGGGAAGGGTTAGGGCGTTGCAATGATTGGAATCGATTTTGCACATAGAGGGAAAAGAAGTCGTAGAGGTTGGGCAAGAATGCAGCATGGTTAGTTGCGAGGAAATCTTCCCAGAGTATTTGGGTGATGATGTGTTCAATGTTGTCTATGGTTATTAGTTGGAGCCAGCTATCCCATCTTACAAAACCGGTTCTCGGGCTGGTTTGTGGAGATGTTGAGGGAGTCTTAGAAAAACAGACGGGGTGGACAATTGTAGAAGTGGCCAAAGGAGCGGATTGCGGGTCGGTCGAAGGTAGGGGTGAAGTCGAAAGTGTTGTTTTGGGTTGTTGTGTGGAGTGGGGAGAGGAGGGTAATGTAATCTGGGCGAGAATGTGATCGTCGAGACCGGTTTGTGAGAAAACTGACAATGATGTTTGTGGCAATGTAAGACTGGTGGTAGGAAGAGTGGCTGCAAAAATGGAGGTAGCGGTGGGCAATGCGGATGATGATGTAGATGTGGATGCTGATGCCGACGAAAACGGCTTCAATTTTTTTGGTCCCGGATCATTTTGGGGGGTACCTGCATGATAGCCAAAAAACAGAGTGTGGTCAAATGTTAGGAAATGGAATTCAAGTAAGAATTTCTTTGTAGACTATATTAGTTGTTCGGTTATTGTTGGCAGGAAGGGAGAAACGAATGTGGCATGGGTCACTTACTCTCGAAGCAACAACGTAAAGCTGGCCGTGTGTGAATGATGGTTGTTGGAGGTCAACACCAGCGTGTTTAATAGATCGGCCTTGGGATTTATTAATGGTGATTGCAAAAGCGGGTCGAATAGGGAATTGGTGTCTTTGCCAAGGGAAAGGGTGAGTTTGATCTGTCACTGTGAGGAGAATGCGCGGGAGCATGACAGGTTGAAGCGAAGGGAGAATGCGTGCGTGTAGAAGTCTGTTGTTGGCGATAGAATCAACGATCAACCGTGTGTCATTGCAGAGGCCGTTTCGCATAGCAATGTTACGTAAGAGAATGACCAGTGCACCCTTTTTGACACGAAGGATATGGGGAGGAAGAGACGGGATGCCAATTGTGTTAAGCGCATCGATGGGTACGTCGGGGTAACTGTCGTTGGGAAGAAGCGTGTCAGCGCTGAGGCATGTTATGAAATCTCCAGGGAATTGATCAAGGATGATTGAATTGAGCGTAGACACCGTTTTATTTTTAGGTGCTAGAATAAGGCGTTCGACAAGCCAGAGGGGGTTGTAGGAGTTTGTTTGTAGACGGGGGAATGTCCAAGCGATAAGTTGTTGTGTTCCTTCATAAAGACAAAGATGGGGCGGGAGTTCAATAATTGTAGGGTCAATATGGGGCGGGGGTGGAATGTCGCCGTTTCCGAGTGTGAGGAGCCATTGAGCGTAATCATGCCTTGCCGGTGTGTTGATCTGGGCGAGCACGCGCATGTTTTCTGAGAGGTGCACTGTTTCAAAATGCCGCCAAAGTGCTGATGACTTTATACATGCGTCAACAGTCTGGGCACGTGTGCCTTTTGCAATTACATGCAATATTTGTCGAAAATCTCCAGCAAGGATTACAATTTTACCGCCGAAAACTAAGTCGGAGGAGCATATGTCACGGAGGGTTCGGTCGAGTGCTTCGATATGGAATTTATGTGTCATTGGTGCCTCATCCCAAACGATAACAGTTGTCATTCGTATGAGTTGGGCGAGTGCAGATTGTTTTGGAATATCGAGTGTGGAGGTCGTAGTTGGTGTAAGTGGTGCCTTGAATCGGGAGTGAAACGTTCGGCTGCCGTGTAGAAGTGTTGTTGCAATGCCGCTTGATGCTACAGCGAGTGCTATGCGGTTTTGGTTCCGAATATACGCAAGAATGATATTGAAACAGAAGGTTTTGGCAGTCCCCACGGGAGCGTCAACGAAGAGGCAAAGCGGTTCGTTATTGTCAGCGGCGGCTGCGACGTGGAGGAAGACAGAACGTTGGGAAGGGCGGAGCCGTGGCAGGTTTGTGTTTAATGTTGTTTGTAGCGTCGCTTGATCATGAGAAGTCTCATCATCGATAATTTACGGCAAGTTATGTTGGCGGGGTCTTTCAGCCAGAGCATTGGCAGCATGTGCATCATCGGGCGATGGTCGAGGGAGGCCGATGTCTTCGAGTTGTTTCCCCTCTTTTTGTAGACGGTTATCGATATCACGAAGGAGCATTGTTCTGATGAGGTGAAGAGGGACATCAGCGATTTGAAGATCTCTTTGGAAGTCGTCTATCATTTGCTGCCAATGTGTTTCGAATAATTCGGCAGGATCAGCTGGACGCAGTGCAGAAGAATGTGGACAAATAAGTCGCGAACCATTTCAGAGGAAGGAGTAAAGATTGCATCTTGCAAGATGGCGTCGAATTGAGTGTTGTCGTTAAGCAGGCCGAGTGCACGACACGTAGATTGATATGTGGGATGAATTTCACCGTTAACAATTTGAAGATGTTCAAATGATGTGGCTCATCGGGAGTGGGGTGATAAAAGAAGCATGCGGAGATAAAAGTGTCTCCTGCATTAGGGTGAATGGTGTGTATTCGTCCAATCGTGTTTGTCATTCGATGTCGCGGTATCCATTGTTTTTTTGTTTTATCATATCGAAATCGTCGGATCATGTCTTTATATAGAGGTTTTGTTTCTTGGGGAGCATTAAGATGTATAATGTTCCATTTGAACCATGAGGTTAGTTCGGTTTCAGGGGGCGGTCGATTTCTCAGATGTTGAGTGTTTCCTGGTCAGGAGTAAACTCGTTGCTTATTTTCCTTGTGTACAGGTAGTGCAGAAACTGCGGGATATCGCTCAGAAAGAGGGAACTAAAAAATTCTCCAACATGCTTCGGCTGCGTCGATTGCGCGCTTGTCTTGGAATGTTTGAATTTCATCATTAGCATTTGTCATTTCGCCGACCATGGCTCGGTCTGGACCTTTCATAATGTACTCGAACATATAGAGGTAAGCGGCGGTCGAGACACATATTTCGACGTTCAGGTGACAACGGTAATGCAGCAGAAAGAAGTGATTGTAGGGGACAACCCAAGAGTTATCAATTTCATTGTTTTCACGTACAATAAATGTACCCCCATTCTCTCTTGTCCGTCGACGATATATGGGATAGCCCGTTTCTTCGTTCCACGTCGTGCGGTCAGAGAAATCTTTCGGGAAGTGATGCGAACAACGATCGTTGTGCATGCAAGGAGCGTGCATATTGAGCGGGCCACAGGGGTTATGTATCATGTGTGTGAGCACGAGCTCGCAAAGGACCGGGTTTGTGGGAATTTCAGTGCAAACTATGGAATCAATGTGTTAAGGTGTAGTAATTTTATATTCATTATTAAATGTAACAACTAAATGTGCATGCGGGAGACCGCGTTTTTGAAATTCTATGACATATATGTAGGCGGCAGTTACATGCGTGCTATGAATGTCGCGGATGAGTTGTTGTAGGTAACCTTTGAAGACACGTGCGAGGAGGTCCGGTCTGTCGGATGGTTGTTGGTTAGGGAAGAGATGTTGTTCAATTTCTGGCCAGTGTGAGTTGCAAGTGATTGTGATAAAAAGATCCGGGGGGCCATATTCTTGGACTGATGCAATAGAATCTTGATACCTCCGGTGCATATCTCGTGGACCGCCGACGAAAGTGGTGGGTAGAATGATGCGTTGGCCAAGGTTTTCAGCATTATTATATTGCATGAGGTGGTTATGTAGATTTTGATAAAGCTCGGCGCGAATTTCAATCTAGTGTAGTCTATTGTATAATAATCGACCGTTTTTTATCTTTGCGAACGCCATGCATATGTACTCTTGGAATAAGCGCGAGGCTCGAAATATTGTGGTTCGTTCGTTGTCTCGGGGGTTAAGATGAAAGACATAAAATTCTCGTGCGGTGATTTGTTGTGCGGAAGGGTTTTCTTGATCATCAGTTTCTAGTGTCCAACCATCTTCGCCCGACGGGGATAAGAGGACATGATGCAAAGGATCAAAAACGCAATTTGTCTCATGGATTTGAAGAATACCACCGCCACGTCGGTGTATGATAATCTCACGATTAGAAGGTTGATCGTGCATGAGTAAGCACAACTCTAAAAGACCTTGAGGTCTGTTGTAACGTCGTTCATGCTCATCGATCGGCCGTTGTAGGGGCCGTACCCTGAAGGACTTTCGAGCCTGAGTCGACCCCACTGCGGGTCCCATTTGGCTCGACCCGCCCACGCTCATGCTCAGGGCGCGGGTCGTTTGTCCCAGGGGCACCCCCACCTAATGCTATGAGGTGGATGGGGATGGGCCTTTTGCGAGAGGGCTTTACATTGGGGGATGTAGCTCCGCTCTCACGTTAGATGGTAGCTCTTTGATCACTCGTGGCGTTTTCTCGATTCACTTAAGTGTGACCAGACAATTGCTCCTTCCAATATACAAGCAGTCCAGTGAGTTCGTTGAGAATTCGTCTTCCTTCGTGTGTAGGCCAAGCGTCGTTCATTGGGCCACACACCTTTTCACTAAGCATGGCAATCTCTATGGCGTCATCGGGGTGCGGCCGCGCCGTCCATGCCTCTAGCCCTTATATATTTTTTTTGCTTGACAATCGTCCTACTCGCATATCCATTGCCGCCCTTAGTCTTTTCAGGCTTCCATATTGCACACAAAAAATCAAGATAAGCATCCATCACACAAGCCATGTCTTTTTTTCCCAAGCATACGACCATCAAGTCCCACCCGCATCCATAGTTTACGCTAGGCCCGTGTCCTTCCCTTGTCGGTTTTTCCCATTCCTGCCCGCATTCCGCGGGTCCAGTCCCGTTCAATCCGTCCTAAGCTACTCACTTGCGCAAGACCACACAAACAGATACCAAGTACAATCCCCATTGTGGTCAACACATCGCCCCTCCCCCAAACCTAAGTTCCTTTCTCTTCCAATAACTCTTTTTGGTTCTTTTTCCCTCCCTTCAAGCAAGTTATGCCTTCTCCTTAGTCAAGCAGTCGGGGAGAATGGTTGAGTCGAACTGACCTGATCTCAAGCCTTTACTTTCTCAACTCTTTTAAAAGGTCCCTCCTTTCCAAGTTTCGCAAAGATCTCGTTTTTTTCCTTCTTGGTGGCACAAGGGCCCGACAGTCCTCCCCTTGCCCTCTCTCTCCACCAAGTGAGGACCGAGTTCGTTTACCGTTCGTTCCCTGGCAACGTAACAAGTGAGGGGAAAGGTTAGTCACGTGTCAAGAAGGGAGAGGATAAGGGGACAGAGAGGTGAAGGCTAGGGGTCTAAAAGGAAAGAGAGAGAGAGAGAGAGAGAGAGAGAGAGAGAGAGAGAGAGAGAGAGAGAGAGAGAGAGAGAGAGAGATGTCTCCTATCCCAATCAACCTTACCCCTTCCCCTGTCCTACCGACCTACCTAAGTTCCCTTGTGCCCCTTGGAACCCTCCTTTGTCCACGACCCTTAGGTGGTGGAAGGAGTTGGTGGAAAAGTAGGGTGCAAGGTGGTTGGCTATGGTGGACGTTGTCGCACTTTTTCCCAGTCGGGCCTCTCAGGGCGACCGGAAAGCCAACAGGCTGTCACGCAGGATTTTGTATGTGGTTTCGAAGAATAAAATAAATTAAATAATGCGAATCCCTTCCTGTTGTCTGCGTCCGGCTTCGAGCGAGACCTTCAATTGCGATCTACGTCGGTCCCCGGTCTTAGGAATCTTTTACTTTGATTCGGAACAGCAGATAATCATGCAAATAATAATCATAAAGTTATGGGGTGCTGTGCATGCATCAATTATGTCGATCAGATTTTGAGAACTGTGACAAAACATCCACAAAGGCAATCGTCAAGCGAGAATAATGCAGAAAAATAAGACTGACTGACTCGAGCAAAGACACGGGCAATTGAATGAGGGAAGAGTGAGAACTCATAATAATCTCAAAAAGTACATGTGAACGAGCATGGTCAGCACCTCTCAAGAGTCCTCACTCATCCCTCTGGTCAGTCTCGCTCAATCTCTTTTCATTGATTTTCTCTGGTGCCGTGACCCACGCCCACGTACAGTCTGAGACTGAGGCTTCGTGACAAAACGCCACCTGTAGCCAGCAAGCTCTGAGCACGACCATCCAAGGCACATAACATGGTAGTTAACCATAGAGCAGAACTCCTCCCACAATGTAGGCAGCCCGTCCACTGAAAAGACCCCTCGTTTAAGGTAGGGATACTCAGTGGGCTCAGTCAACGCCTCAATGTCGATCACCGCCGGAGAGATGTACCTCTTTGCCTAACCTATCACATCCAGCCAACTCGTGCCATCGGTGAGAAGAGAAGGGACTGAAGGCCTAGGATAGTCAGTATAAAGCACCGGCCCGAAGCTGCGGATCAACGTAACCCCACTCTCATCGAGCTCCCTCTCTCTCTGCTCAAGGTATTCAGTGGCTGAGATCTAGACCGGATCAAAGTGATCATGAGTCTCCTTGCCCTTCTTCAGGTAAGGTCTCAGATCGCGAATAGTGCCATCAACAAAACTGGTCTGGACAATGAAGATTGACAGATCTCCCTGTCTGAAACCAGTGGCACTAACATACCGATAATGGAATGCCTCTTTGCATGATATCCGATTGAGGCTGGCCAGTACTGACTCACTGACCGAAGCCGACTGAACTGTGCTCATGGGCACTCTTGCCAGTACAGGCTGATCAAACAGTCCCAGAGAACAGGTTACCAAACCGATTGCAGGAAACTGATTGCTGAAAACTGACTGATTGCTAATGAAAGCCTGTTGCCATTCGAGTTGACAGCTTACTGATTAAACGCAGGCTGATTAGAGATCGATTCCACAGTTAAATGTCATTCCGAGCATCGTTCTAAGTACTGTCCTGAATGCCCTCCCAAACAACCACCCTGAGAACGGCTATGAATGTCGTCCCAAAATGCAATCAGGATTACAGTTTTGTTCTGAGAGTGGCTCTGAGTACTGAGTCTGAGTACCGATCCGGATACCTTTTCCCTGATCTTTGGTCTGAGTGCCTGGTCTGATTACTGATCTGATTACTTTCTCTGAATGCTGATTAGGATGTAGAACGTAAGCTGTTTGATTGTTTGCTTGGTCGCTAATCTGATTGCTGGTCTGGTAGCCGCTTCAATGCTGAAGGAAACGGGAAGTGGTGAGTCTTTTATGCTACTGGGATCACCCGAGCTTAGCCCTCGCCTGTTCCACACTTTCTAACATAGAACTAGTACTGTGCAGTTTGTTGTCAGACCCGCTGAAATAGATTACGTACTCGATATACCTCTTCTCACCTACAATTCTGACCGCATGCTCCTTCTGCACTTGCCTGTTGATTTCCATGTCTTTGATGGCATCTTCTTCCCATCCCCTTTTCTTTTCTCTGATTAGTGTGCTCTTTACCACAAGGATCTCTTCATACTTCATGTTTCTCCTCTTACACCCAGATCTTATAACAGTGAGTCCCAACGAAGTAGATAACCACTTATATAAGGTAATTTGAGTGCTGACCGGACGGTGTCTGATAGTTATTTGGCTGCTGTTTGCTTACTATTTGGACTGCTATTATTTGCAACTTGATACCGCCGTCAGAGCGCTAGCTGAACTCTAACTAAAGACTATCTGAACACTCGTCTGGAAAGCTCGTCCGAAAGTTGTGCCACAAGATCGCTGATTTACAAGGCCCTTTTGCAGTAGAAAGGACCACAAGCTAATAATGGGTACTTGCTGGTTCAGATGTCGGTGCTGAGACAGATCTGTATCCTTCGATGAGGGTACAACTCAAAAGGTTCTGACTTCCAATGCAGATGAGAAAAGCCAAACGTTGATTGATTCTGATAATTCGAACCACCGAGGGTTCCAAGTAATTTCGAGGCTTAGTATTAAGCGAGTATCGATTAATCTTGGCCGAATTTTTCTTTATAGCTTAAGTGACTAGGTGTTGATGTGGTTTCTCAAAAGGATCTGTAGACAGCGGAGTAAGTCTCTCTTTGATCAGAACACCAGTGAAACCCAGTGGAAGAAGAGGCCGGGTGTTTGCTGAGCTTCACTCGGGCCTTGATCAGAATCAGTTCAGCAGTCTCCAGGGGTGGACTGTAACTGTGCAGCTTTACTGTTGTGAACACACGGATGGATCACGCATTCGATATAACCCTTCCCTTTTGCCCTTTCCACAACACGTGTTAAAACGCGAGATTTTGTGTCCAATTAAACCTTTTTCCATTCACCCCTCTTCCTTGTCTCTCACAGAACTACCCTTCACGACTAGAACCCAGTCTTATCCCTCGGCAGGAACGCGTGAACATGGGTCAGTGCGTATTCTGTGGTGACCCGACTCACGTAATAGAATTTTGTCCTAAGTATAGACAGGCCCATTGGGCTGCCCAACAATCAAAAGGCAGCCGCCAGTAGGGGTTGCAACTGCACCTACTTTAGGGCCATGTGGAACAGTGAGCGCGCGCGAACAGGACACTCGCAACCCACATGAGCCCGTGGCAGAGGTTATAGGCCCGTGCCTAGCTAGCTGTCCAGAGGCCGCTTGTGTTAGCGTCTCTTTAGGCACGTCCCTCATAGGTGTGGCAGGAGAGTTAAAGGAGAGGATGCCAGCCTGGGCCAAGATGAAGAAAGAGAGTAAAGGACAACTAATCTTGGTATACGTAGAGGTTTTCAGAAGTAGAGTCGGGGCCCTTATAGACTCAGGGGCCACCCGTAGTTATATTAGCCGTAGGGCGCTGAAGAAGCTGAGATTAGGACTGAAAGTCCAAAAGTTGGCAGACCCCATAGTCAATGTCCTCGCGGACAACCACATAATGCGTGTTGAGGACTATATAGAGGGAGTCCAGGCGTACTTTCGCCTAGAAAAGGATGGGAAGGTGGAGAAAGTTCTCCATTCCCTGACTCTCCTCGTACAAGATGACCTTCCCTTCGACATAGTATTGGGAATGGATTGGGGAGAGGCAGTCGGGGCCACACTCCATTTGAGAGAGCATGAGTGTCGGCTCCCTAGTCCGTCAGGCGAAGTTAAGACTGCCCCCACCTGTTTCATGTGTCAGGTGTAGATAACGCCTTGGCCCTTTGCTGTCTCAATGCTCCCGCGTTTGCGCGGTTAGTGAAAAAAGAGCAATTAGAGGAGCAGGTCTTTGTAGTGTATGTTAGACTTGTCACCGAGGGCAAGGAAGAGGTAAGTTCCACGAATCCAACCATAGCCGAGTTGCTGGAAGAGTTCAAAGACTTGACTGAGTCGCCAACAGGGGTAGTGTCGCGACCCATCCAGCATAGGATAGAGATAGAACCTCGCAGTATAACTCCTAAGGGTGCAGTTTACAGGATGTCCCGAGGAGCTACATAAGCAATTAGACGAGCTCCTTGAGAAAGGTTGGATCAGGCCCAGTTCGTCTCCTTTTGGAGCACCCGTTTTGTTTGTCCCCAAGAAGGAAGGAGAGCTGAGAATGTGTATAGACTATAGGGGTTTGAACGCGATTACTGTGAAGAATGTTGAACCGCTGCCCATGATAGACGATCTTCTAGATCGGGTGCAGGGTTGTAAGTATTTCACTAAGATTGATTTGAAGTCTGGTTATCATCAGATAGAAGTCCACCCTGATGATCAGTACAAGACTGCTTTCCAGACTAGATATGGGCACTATGAGTTCATAGTGATGCCCTTTGGACTAACCAACGCGCCAGCTACATTTCAGCGTTGCATGAATGATCTGTTTAGACCTTGGTTGGATAGGTTTGTCGTAGTCTATTTAGATAGACCCTCCAGGAGCATCAGGGTCATCTCAGGCAGGTCTTGGAGAAGCTTCGCGAGGCTAACTTCAAGATCAACGCGAAGAAGTGTGAGTGGGCCAAGACACAAGTCTTGTACTTGGGCCACGTATTAGACGGAGATTGCATTAAGCCAGAGGACAGTAAGATAGCGGCGATTAGAGATTGGCCGACGCCCCGCACATTGACAGAGTTGCGGTCGTTCCTAGGCCTAGCTAACTACTACAGGAAGTTCGTGAGGAACTTCTCCACTATCGTCGCTCCCTTGCGCAGGTTGCTGAAGAAAGAGGCAATCTGGCAATGGGACAAAGACTGTACGTCTGCGCTCAAGAAGTTAAAGCGCGCGCTAATAGAGTATCCTGTCCTCAAAGTTGCAGATCCGTCTTTGCCATTTGTCGTCACCACGGACGGGAGTCAACATGGGATAGGTGCCGTGTTGCAGCAAGACGACGACAATGGCTATAGACCCGTAGAGTTCATGTCAGCGAGGATGCCCTGTGAGAAGGTCGCTACCTCCACGTACGAGAGAGAACTCTACGCTCTCAGGCAGGCTTTAGACCATTGGAAGCACTACCTGCTTGGGAGGCACTTCAAAGTGTATTCGGACCATGAAACGCTTAGATGGTTAAAGACTCAGGCCAAGATGACACCTAAGTTGACTAGGTGGGCCGCAGAAAAAGACCAATTCGACTTTGAGCTCAAGCCAGTGAAGGGCAAGTACAACGTAGTTGTGGATGCTCTGAGTAGGAGATCAGACTACTGTGGAGTTGTAGTACACTATATGGATAGAGGGAGAGACCTGCAAGAGAAAGTGAAGCAAATGTATGCACAGGACCCTATCTATAGCGACCTCCTAAAGAGAGTTAGAGAGGCCCCAGAGACTGAACCAGATTACCGCACTACAGATGGGTTGTTGTTTGAGAAGACTACTGTGTTTGACCGCCTGTGCGTTCCCAACAACGAAGAGATCCGCAGTTTAATCTTAGGGGAATGCCACGATACTGAGGGACATTTCGGTTGGCAAAAGACATTAGCCAATCTAATGCGCGCGTATACCAGGCCAGGAATGAAGAATGACTGCATAGAGTATGTCCGCAGTTGTGAAGTATGCCAGCGTAACAAGACTACTACACGCACACCCCTTGGTCTTCTCAGACCCTTGCCTATTCCGGATCAGCCGGGAGACTCAGTGTCCATGGACTTCATGGACACCCAAGTCAAGAGCAGATATGGTAAGAGCCAAGTCATGGTCGTAGTTGACCGCTTTAGCAAGTATGCAGTTTTTGTCCCTTTGCCTTCAGAGGCACGAACGGACTTAGTGATACAGAAGTTCTTTGACTTTTGGGTTAGCGAGAATGGAATCCCATTGTCAATAGTTAGCGATAGAGATAGTCGCTTCACCAGCCATAACTGGCAAGAACTCATGAGAGTGTACGGATCCAAGTTGTTAATGTCATCTGGCCGACACCCAGAGACTAATGGTCAGACAGAACAGATGAACAAGATCCTACAGCAAGTTCTGCGCATGTACATTAGACCAGATCAGATTAACTGGGATGAGATGTTGCCTAAGGTGGCTAGTGCATACAACAACAGTGTGCATCTGTCCACCTGCCGCACTCCCAATGAGCTGCACAAGTCCTCTCGACCACGTAGACCGTTCGAAGGACTGAACTGGGATCAGATTCACAGACTACCGCCCGGTACCAGGGAATTTGCGGTACAACACGAAAAAGAATTAGCAACTGTTGTTGAGAACCTCAGAAAGGCCCGACATAGAATGATAGAGCAAGCTAATAAGCACCGCCGACCGTCGCAGTTTCAGGTAGGCGACTTAGTCTGGGTCAAGGCAAAAGAGTTTGCGCCTGAAGAAAACATCTCGCAGAAGTTACTGCCTGCATATAGAGGACCGTGGCCAGTTCTAGAAGTCAAGGGCGGAGAGGATGGACCATCATACACTATAGAGATCCCAGTACACCTCCACACATATCCTGTGTTCCATGCTTCAAAGTTGTGGCCATGTGTTACAAGCCAACAGTTCCCTTCTAGAAGATCCATGATCCCTCCGGATGTGGACGAAAGCTATGACATAGAGGGCATTGTAGATGAGATGTGTTTAGAACAGGAGGTAGAGGTCGTCCACAGAAACAATACAAGGTCCTCTTTGCATATCAGGAACCGGAGGATGACCGCTGGTTTACGAGATCAGAACTTCTAGAGACAGCTCCCGATATAGTTAGAGCCTACGAGAGAGAACAGAAAGCTAAAGGTCCTGCCTTGGACTGAATTATTCTCGGAGGACCTTGAATTTAGGACGGCAGGAGTGAAACGGTATTCACCAGTCAGCAGTGGCTGCTGCAGATCCCAGGGTTCGATCCCTATAGTCTTCCTGAATACAACGTACGGTCATTATAGCTGAATTTAGACTGAAAGATACACCAAATTCAGCTATAATGATCGTACGTTGTATTCGGGGGAAGACTGTAGCCCCCCAACCTTACCTGTGTACAGTACCCGTGTTGACCCGTAGAATTGAACCCGCGACATGTGTATTTGTAATAGCTGATAGGCTGTCGTAGGGTTCATAGGTAGCATGGGTTCGATCTGTAGACCTGTCGGATAGGAGTCTTAGTCAGGTCTAGACATCGTAGCTGTAGTTTCCTTGAAAGGTCAAGGTCGTAGCTGCTACAGTCCAGAAGGGTCAGAATCGTAGCTGCTACAGTCACGAAAGGCCAAGT